GAATTCTATTTTTTTTATCTTATAATGCTAAAAAAATACTTAAGTGAAAAAGTTATAAACGCTATGGGGAAAATTTAAATAGATTGTTGAACATCATTAGAATGCATCATTTTACAATAATATTTAAATGAAAAAATATATTTAAATGAATATTTTTACACTATTATTACCTTGATCTTCTAATTATGTTTTGCTCAACGTGACAAGAATTACAGAAAAAGAAAAGTCTGAATAGCTCTTTTCTCAGTATGGGAGTGAAAGGGTTAAACTCCCATGAGCCACTGCCACTACTGTAATTAGCATATTTCCAGATTGCTGCTACAGATCAGCTTCAGTACCTTTTCCTCGCATTGATTTGAAATCTGCATGTGGAAAAAATAAGAAACCTGCATCTCACTGTTGGCTTTAGTGGTATTTGTTTTTTCTGGGGTTTGCAGAAACACAAGAGGCATCTCTTGGCTTGTGTCCATCCTGCCATAAAGGAAACTCGGAGCGTACTTCATTTTTCATAACCTGTTATTTTGTCGCCATGCTGTGGAAGAGAGTCAGGTTAGCTGTGGACAACCCACAAGGGTTTAATGAAATGACTCAGACAGACTTGGGTTTCTTAAGGCATGAGTAACATGAGGTATTTAATCAGGCTGGTTGATAAAAAGTCTTTTAGTTTTCAGGTGAAGCAGCATTGATTGCATTTGTTCTTGATTTGAACATAAAGCTTTCATAACCCCTGAAAAACAAATTCCTTTAGACTCCTGTTGAGCAGAAGTAACCAGCAATTCAATACACTTCAAGCAACAGCTTGAAGAGAGAAATCCTCCCTGGAAGCTCGTGCTGCAGTTCCCACGCTGCAGGCAGTTTGGGTGAGACCGGCAACTGGGCTACAGCTGCTGCCTGTCTGACTCGGCTTGCTTGCAGCTGTTTTGTGGTCGATGAGCTGAAGCACCAGAAACCAGCAAACCAGTGTTGCGCCGTCCTTCCCTGATCTTCATTCTGCTACAGGCTAACTAGACTGAGCTCTGAAGACCTTAAACCTGAATAAGAGCAAAGCCGACTAAATTATCTTGAGTTTAAACTGCGATGAGTTTTCAGACAGGTGATGTCACCCCACCCGACCATAAATCAGTCGTGATGGCGGTAATGAATGTGTTTTTGTGTCTGGACAGTGTGAAGATTTGGAGGGCTCGAGTGAAAAAAAGTTGCGACAGAACGCCCGTAGGGGGGTTGAAGTGTTGAACACAGCTCTCTAAAAGTCTTTTATCTCTGTTGGCTGCAATTTGTTTCCTTCCAGCTGTGAGTCTGTAAAGAACACCAGGACTACATTACACAGACAGTAAAACGGTGCATGTAGACGTCAAATGGCCACACAGATAGAGGCCGGAATGTGGACCAAATGGCTCTCATCAGAGGATTTACCAAAGATTCATAGTTCTTTGTAGACAATATTAACGTGACATTTTCAAAGAGTGACTACCCAAAATTATTTGGTGTTTCAGTGTTTTAGAACCAAGTGTTTTAAAGTAACACACAGCAGTTTCCTGCTCCTCCGCCCTACTGGTTGAAAGTGGAATTACAACTGTCGTAAACAACCCTGCATCAGCTAGCGCTAACAAAGAGCTAACGCTAACAAATACTAGAAAAAACCATGAAATTAAAGTTCCACACTGTTGGACAAAGAATATTATTACTTACAAATCCAGTAGCAACAAAGCCAGGTCACCAATAGTCTGTGATTTAGTAGCCTCCTTTAGCTCCCTGAAAACTAGTGTAGGCCCCGTCGATGTTCACTCTGATTTTAGCTCTTTGCTTTATCTCCAAAAACACCCTTACTTTTACATCCAGGCTGAGCCACGATGCCAACAGAAAAAGCAAACACTTTCTTTTTTTATTGCTGTGCTTTATATTGACAAATGCTAACCACTAGCATTGCAGCTAACGCCTGTACAGCAGACATATGCCCCCTGCAGAGTGGTGTCCAATACGAAACTGGTCAAGTTTCTAACTCAACATTCACTGAGGTCAATGTTAAAGCTCTACCATAAAGTTAAAAAAAAATCTATTCTCCAATTTGTTATCTAGAATTTGACATGTTCATGGTTAATAGTCATCTTCATCTCATATTTCAAGCACAAAACATTGTTCAACATCTTTGCTTAAAACTTTGCCACAAACTATTGTAATCAATTTAGGTCTGGTGGTGATGAGCTACGATTTAGCCCCAGCTGCCCTGGGGCACACTGATAGACATGAGGCTCCCGAACCCTGGTTCCATCGGTCCACAGCCATCTCTACGTAACTTGGAAAATCCGGAAATTGGATCAAGAACATATATAATTACAGGTGACATTAAAGAGACATTTTGGTCAAATCTCCAGGTTTTCACTCAAAGTGGGTAGAGTCTCTTGAGACAGGAACAAATCAGTTATTGCTAGGCAGATTGGTACAAAACAAGAGGCGAATTTCCAGTTTTTTAAAAAACTCTTGCATAAAAATGTCGTACAGACACTTTAGAATGCAATGTCACAGTTTTTTAAACTTCTGCAGTTTATGAGTCATTTTGTTTAGCTTGTGCTGTTTATTTCAACTGTAGCATCACGCATGTCCTGTTTTTGACCTAAAGGTCATGATCTGCTGCGTCTGCTCGAGCAGAGACATAAAGTCTCTGACAGCCTAATCTACATGAGATAGTGGCCAAGGTCTTTCATGCACTCTGCTCATCTGAACTGCTTCACCTCTGTTACAGCTCAAGACGAAGACGAAGAACTATTTTGATAAATACATAATCAACAACTTAGTTATTTACCAATAATAATGTGAGCCCAATGTTCAATCAATCTGTGAAATGACAATGTTATTACTTGATATTATAATCCTGTGATCAGTAGTATTTTACAAGTAATTAATTTCTTGGACATTTGCACTAGACACTAATGACACGTAACACTAAAGTCACATGACACATTTCCTTTTGTCTGATCCAATCAGAACCTTTGTTCCTGGCGCGAGGCGTGGTTATCTGTGGTGTTTGTAAAAACCCTCTTTTTTCATGTCAAATTCTGATTCGCCAGTAAACCAAAATATGACAATTATAAAAACTATTCCACGCCACCTTTTCTAGAGTTCAAGCGTTCCAGAGAAGTCTCGGACAGGCCATCCGGACTTCCTCTTCAGCCATAAAGAACCTCGACAAGCTGGATAAAATCTATTGCAAGTTACACCTGACCGCAACGGTTCCTTCAGAATAAAAGCTGAACCTCACGACCCCTTCAGGGTCTCGGAGACGCCAGTGATAACCTGTCGTGACCTGGGAGCATTCCAAGACTAGTTTGGTCGGCACCGCTGCTTTTCTACCGGCTTCGGTTCCAAGGAGGGTCCAAGAGGACCTCGACATTCTGGATCTAATCGGAGGCTTCCCCTGCATACGTAGACCGACAGATGGTGTTGCATGTGTGTTATAAATCTCCAAATAAAGTTTAGAGCGAAACATTCACTCCCACTCAGAACTAAATGCTTCTCCGGATCCGCTGGTTCTGAATAACATTCCACACACACACACCATCATTCATCACGTCTCACTCCACCTTAGTTCCATCAGTACACAGAGTGTTTAAGTTAGTCTTGTTTAAATTGTGTAGAAATAAATTTCCTAACTATTTGAAACCTGACTCTCTCTCTTTCCTCGGAGTTAATACAAAGTGTCGCTTAATCCCTGCAATAAAAAGTTCCGATCTTCTGGTTAAAATAGTCAAAGATCCATCAGATTGATATTTCATATTTCTATGGAATCTTACATTTTATGGTTCATAAGTAAGATGTAAATGACCCATTCTTTATACAACCAAAGTCCAAATAACTATGCTACTGTACATGTACAACCCTAACCCTAACCTGTGTCACATTACCTGTTGCCAAAGGGTTTTATCCATCGCAACCACAACTGGACCTTACCACTCAGCACAAATGTGCAAGAGTGGGGCTCAGAGCTGGGGGGAAAACCAATGAGTTGGACTTTGACCAATTCTGTGAGCTGCATCCACAGACAAAGGTCTGATGTTCATATCAATGAATGATTGGTTGAAATACCATAAAAACACCCCAAAAACTGGCCAGTGTTTTCCAACCCTTTGACATTTTCTGGATAATTGTGACGAAAAAGTTACGGCTCGTTTTGGGTGACGACTTGGCATTAAGAGCCCTCGAAACTTTGAAGACCTTCATCAGTGGTAGTGGAAAAAAGAAAAAGCTAGTCTCTTCCTATGCTTCTTATCCTCCTTGCCTACAGACAAAAAAAAAACTGGGTAAAAAAAAGGAAAACAAGACATTTTTTCACTAATTACAAAGAGTCTGGAGACTACAAAGACCTCCACTCCTACAAACAGCCAGATAGGTTAAAGATGTTGATGTAAATAATTAGCAGACCTACATACATTCACATGAGATGAACATAGTCTGTGGGGACATCTGTGTTTGTTTGCACCCTGTGGCTCACTTTGTAACCATGTCTGGTTTATAAGCTGTAACATCACCATGAAAGATGGTCAGAGGCACAGAAAGGCAGCTGTGGCTCAACATCTGGGATTGTAAGGACAAGGTGTGTTATGTATACATTGGTTTCTCTGTGTGTGTGTGCAGGTAGTCAAGTCTTGTTTCAAAGGAATGCAACGTAGGATTGCTCAAAGTCTTTCCTTCATTCATAAAATTGTTTTTTCTGCTGTGGTTTTAGTGGGCAGGGTGGGCCGGATCGGCCTCATGTGCACGTAGGAGATGACTGAAAACGTTTTGTCATCCATCACTTCAAATGTGGAATGGATTCATTTCATTTATCGGGGTGAGGGGGCAGTGAAATTTTCAGTACAAGGGTGACTGAGCTGGGCTGATTCCATCTGAGGGGGACTGGCCAACTTTTTTCAATCTTTCTCAGCCACATTTGTATTTCAGGAGGAAATCAAACACTTAAAATTCTCATTCAGACTCACTCTCTGCCCTTCTCTCTGTCCCTGAAGGTCAACACGTTCCAAGCGGTGATTGGTTACGATGAGACAGACTCGTACACTCTCTTCCTTTACCCCGAAGATGGTCTGAACTTTTTCGGGACACAACCGAAGGTAAACGGTTCGGGACATCTCTGATCATTTTGAACACCTGTGTTAATGCTATTTGTTGTTTTGTGATTATATGTTTTCTTGTCTTTCTGTAGGAACTGTATAATGTTAAGATTGAGCTTCCTGCCAGAGTTGGCTTCAGTAGAGGAGAAGTTACGTTCTTCATATTCTCCCGATCTGAGGGACCCTTCTACAGCGTTACCACAGATGAGAAGAGTGTTAAA